CTCTGCTAACATCTTCAGAGTATAAAAACTACCATTGGAGAGATATTCGCATCAATGATGCATAAAGGCGAATATCTTTCCAAAGGTAGTTTTTACACTCTGACGATGTTAGCAGAGGCTAACGAAAGCTAAGTGGATAATATATTTTACGTTCCTGAGATTGTGAGATATATATATCTGGTGGGATAGTTGGAATAGTTGGAATACAGTATGATCAGGGCTGGTGCCTCTGCATTGAGATTCAGGGAAAAGGTCCTAGAGAGAGTCCTCGACTTACAACTGTTCACTTAATGACTGTTCAAAGTTATGATGGCCTAAGAAAATACTACTTATGACCTGTCCTTGAAGTTATGACTGTCACACCATGCATTAATGTGGTTGTTTAGGCAATGTTTTTTTACCATTTTCCAGCAAAAAAAGTCCTTTGAATAAAATGGATTTGGACGTATGAACATGGGATTTGTTTAATGATCATGATTTGCTTTATGATAGTCATAAAATTGAGTTTGGTCTCAGGGTGGCTCAACTTTTGACTGCAACAATTCTTGATTAAAATTCTGGGGTCAGGATTAGCCATAAATCAAGGAATGCCTTTTATCTGCATCATGAATATCAGAATTGTCCTCTGGTAAATAATCTGTATGACATTGGTGGGAGAGTTAGTTGACTGGGAGACCATGGCCTGCTTCCTCCCCACATTTCTCCAAAGCCAATGAAGCTGCTCCAGCTCTGCCTTGTCTTCCTCCACAGATTCAGGCTCCTATGGGGACACGACACATTCATTCATTTGTTCGTTCGTTCATTCGTTTGTTTATCCTATTTCTATATTGCCTATCCCCCTCAGAGGTTAAAACTTGCATAAGAGGGTTTTAGGCTTTAGTTTCATGAATGCCAATATCTGACTTTTCATGAGGCCTTCTTTGGCTATTTAAAATGCTACACCTTATCTTATTTAGAGTCAACCACAGGGAAAACTGTTTCCAGCAATGCGGAATAGGATTGCAGTTGATCTCTGATGTTGTCAAAGCAAAGAAGCACCAAGTGCCAGAGGCTTCTTTTAGCTATATTCAGGATTAAAGTTAAGGCATTTGCCATGATTACTTAACAGTACTTCATAACAATTAGATGATCACTTAGAAGTTTGATGGGTAATTACCTCCCCCTCCCCGGTTAATCGTCTAGGCTTGACACGCACGCTAGTAATAAGCATGATGATATCCCTAATGTAAATGCTCTGATTGAACTAATAGGACTGACAGAAAATGCAAGAAATATATGACCAAACTATTTATCACTTAACTATCATATGCTTTTTGTCTTCCTCCAATTACAAATACTGTTTTTGAGGTTGCATGGAATAGCAAGGAATTATAACTGCCACAATTTCACTTTAGTGGATTATTCCCAGATACATTTTATTGCTAGATGCTGGAGATAATGGTACACCATTGATTGTAGACAGTTTTATTTATTTATTTATTTTGATTTGTCAATCACTTACAAGATAATAGGTATAAGTATATACATAGTTATGAATGCATGAAATGGGTACATATAAGAAAAATAAAAAAAACAATAGGACAGGGACAGTAGGCACGTTGGTGCGCTTATGCACGCCCCCTGCAGACCTCTTAGGAAAGGGGTGAGGTCAATAGTACACAATCTAAGGTTAAAGTTTTTGGGGTTTGGGGAAGAAACCACAGAGTCAGGTAGAGTATTCCAGACATTGACCACTCTGTTGCTGAAGTTGTATTTCCTGCAATCAAGTTTGGTGCGGTTAACCTTAAGTTTGTATCTATTGTGTGCTCTTGTATTGTTATGATTGAAGCTGAAGTATTCATTGACAGGTAGGACATTGCAATGTATGATTTTATATACCATACTTAGATCAGACCGAAGACAGCGTAATTCAAGGTTTTCTAGGTCTAGAATTTCAAGTCTGGTGGCATAAGGTATTCTACAACAAGTAGAGGAGTAGAGAACTCTTCTTGTGAAATATTTCTGGACTTTCTCAACTGTGCTAATATCAGATACGTAATGTGGGTTCCAGACTGATGAGCTGTATTTGAGTATTGGTCTAGCAAATGTTTTGTATGCTCTAGTTAGTAGTGTGATATTACCAGAGAAAAAGCTATGTAGGATTAGGTTAACAACTCTTAATGCGTTTTTGGCTATGTAGTTACAGTGGGCTCTAGCACTTAGATCATTAGAGATGAGTATTCCAAGGTCCTTGATAGAGTTTGGATCATCAACAAGGTCTTGACTATTCAGCTTGTATTTTATTTTTTGATATTTTTTGCCAATATGTAAGACAGAGCATTTATTTGTTGAGATTTGAAGTTGCCATTTGTTTGACCATTCTGATACATAGTCAAGATCTTTTTGAAGGGTATCAGTATTGTCTGTGGTATTAAACAGCTTTACATAATCAGCGAAGAGAATGCAGTTGCTCTTAATATGATCACAGAGGTCATTTATGTAGAGTATGAAGAGAGTTGGTCTTAGAACACTGCCTTGGGGGACACCACTATTGACAGGTACAGAATTTGATAGGGCACTCCCAATTTTGACCATTTGTTGTCTGTTTGACAGGAATGCTTCGATCCAGTTATGCAGTTGTCCAGAGATACCATAAGATTTTAGTTTTAGGAGTAGTTTGTCATGTACCACTGAATCAAAGGCTTTACAGAAGTCTATGTAGATTGTGTCTATTGTTTTTCCCTGATTGAGTTGTGCAGTCCATATGTTTTTGCAGTGTAAGAGTTGCAGATTGCAGGATAGTTTTTTTTGTGAAACCAAATTGTTTATTAGAGAGTAGGTTGTGTGCATGGATTGTAGTTTACAGAGCGAATAGGCATAACCATGGTATTTCACTGCATTTCAATATTTCAAGGCCTTCCTGTATATTAAACTAGTCAAAAAGAGGGCTGTGAAGTTATCTACAGACCCCTTACATCCTGGACATAAATTGTTTCAACTTCTACCCTCAAAACAATGCTTTGGGCGCTGCACACTAGAACAACTAGACACAAGGACATTCCCCGCCCCCCCAAATGCCATCACTCTGCTAAACAACTAATTCCCACAACACTGTTAACTTATTTACTAAGACTATATTACTATTATTCCTCTACTACTAGATTATAATAACATTTCTTAGTGCCTATGTCTTCCCACTGATGACTATAACTGTGTTGCTTGTAACTTTACAATTTATATTGTTTTATTCATTTCCTATTATGATTTGATTGCTTATTAGTAACCTATGACTATCACTAAGTGTTGTATCTTATGATTCTTGATGAATGCATTTTTTCCCTTTATGTATACTGAGAGCACATGCACCGAAGACAAATTCCTTGTGTGTCCAGTCACACTTGGCCAATAAAGAATTCTATTCTGTTCTGTTCTGTTCTACTCTACTTTACTTAAACAATTGTGACCAATTTAGCTAACATTGAAGATGCTCTAGAATATTTAAATATTCAGACTCTCTAGAATATTCAAATAATTTTGCTAAGGTGAAGTTGGGGCAAAAGAATGTTTCATGACATGTTTGAACAAACTGCTCTAATACTTCAAAGGGAGTGGCAAGGCATTAGCTGGCATGAAAACTGAAGAGAGAGCAAACTTATTACAGGACTGCCTTTTATACATAATACTAGATTGCTATCTAAGAGTTGTTTAAAAGATGTGCATGTTTTTGTTCAGCAATGGAATATTCTCACCTAAAAACATCCATGTGTTTTCTTTTTGTAAAAATCTGCACGCTCTTTTCAGCGGAATTATGTTCTGTAACACCATTCTGAGGACCTTATCCTAGGACACTTAAAACATATAGCCCTGATGACTTTTTCATTTTTCTTGAAAAGAGCCCCAGAGGTAAGGAATTACTATTATGATCTGGGAGAGGGAGAGGAACCTTTTAGCTACATGTCCTCTGTTAAATAACAATCCACTTGATCCGATGGTGCAGTGTGCCTTGGGCAGGAAAAACCTATTGTAGTTGTTAATGGTAATTAGATCTCTACACACTGATTACATTTGGATATAATCTATGAGTTAGAATTTCAGCAAAGACCCCACAATTCTCCTATACACCTCTGTAGATTTTATTTACCAGCATAGCTGTTGGCAAGAGATGAGAAACATTCACTTCCACTTCTATTTTGGATTGGCTGCAGTTTACTGTGTCTTCTGAACATTAAATTTGGATTAAACTGAACTGTTGAGACTAATCTTAACTATGCTTAATGAAAACAAACCTCAAGAACTATGTTTTAAAATTAAGATTTATTACATCTGTCTGAGTTTGGATGACCCAGCCAGCTGTGGTTAATTGTAAAGGAAAGTCAAAAATTCAAATTTTCTGTTTAGGCCAGAAAAGGTGGGGAAGTGGATGCTTTTCAAGGAGGCTAATCTTGGTCTTCTGATGCTAATTTGTGTTTCTCTGTTATAGTCTAACAAGTCAATGAAGAATCCACTTTGGACAAAACGTTTGGACAGAAACATTGCTGATTTCACTTGCATCAAAATCCAGGATTTATTCAACCACAATAATAGCATTTAGCAGGCAGTGGTTTTTTTTTTTTAATTTAGGCTTTTTAATGACCACAAAATGCTGAGTCAGTCTGAAAATGAAAAATAATCAGATTTGTTTCTCCACGTTCTAATTTTCATTCCCCCGCATTCCTTAGGCAAGGTGTTGTTCTTTTTAAAGAAAGCTGCAACATCTCGGGTTCAATTCACCCTAAACACATTTAGAATAGAATCCATAATCATATAGCCTGGTCTTGCTCTACTTCTCAGTCTCTTTACCAAAACTTCTTGGCAGTGAGAAAGAAACTTTTGTAAAACAGCTTCATCCTGCTGGAGCATGTTACAGCTGTTGGAAACTTTTTACTTTGCCTGTTCAGCCTGAATCCCATCATGTGTAAAATGCCAAAAGGGATATGAGAGAGAGAGAGGGAGAGAGAGAGAAAGAGAGAGAGAGAGAGAACAAAATAGGGAGTGGCATCAGAGTTCAAGTGAATTAATACAGTTCAGTCTTTTGCTTCAAACTGTCACCACTAACACCAGACTTTTTCAGTTGTCCTTTTTACATCTTTTTTTCCCTCAGTTCAGGAAATAGAGTTGCTTCATAAGAAGGTAAGTGATGAATATCTTTTAAACCTTTTGTAGATGTCTAAGCGTTTGTCTAGGATTCTTTATAAAGAGTCCAGTGGAGCTGAAAATAAAAAAGGGGGACACTGCAGGAGAAATTGAAGGATTTCCCCATTTTGTATAACTTTTTATGGACAGGAGATTTCAGAGTGAACAGTTGCTGGAATGTTTCTATAGTTCTCTTGCTTGTAGCTTAGATTATTGATCTAACCTGTATGAGGTACAACAATTCAATTTTTAGCAAGTTGATCTGAAAATCACACCTTACCATGTGGAACAAGAATGACAAGCTTTCTTATTCTGTTGATTGACTGGGTGGTGAATAACCTTAGTCTATTGAATGATAGTCAAGATTTTTCTTGTGCAATTGTCCTTTTCATTTATAGAATTTAAGAGTGGGTGTTTTTTTTTTTTTAAAAAATAGTGTCTCCAATTTTTCCAAGGTCAGACAAATCGCTAAGGTAAACTAGCTACCTAGTGCCTTCTCCCTGGTTGTATTAGGAGCTTTCCATTGGAATCACCCTAAGCCTATGAGATTGCTAGTAGAAACTTGAATAAAGGTGAGATTTTTCATAGGGGTGTGGGCCTTTTGACTCAGCTTCTTTTACGTTATTCATCAAATAACAAATGCTATTCAGACTTAAGAGGATATTAAGGCTGATTTTTATTTCAGCAGGCCAGGGTTATTGTCTGTTCTTGTATTTCTATATACAGAAGATTACAATTATGTGATGATTGTTTCTGGCTCATCAGGTATCAGGTATGAGAGTGGGAACGGATGAGTCTAAAGTTAGTGTTGGGAGGGCTTTGCATTTGTTCTGCATTTTCCTTCCTTCTCTTTCTGTGTGAAAAGAAACTCAGTTGGAGTCTGAGGAGGAAAGTACGGACCCATTAATTTTTTCTACCCTGTATTTTTTTTTAATCCTGAGGAGGAATACCAACTTTTATGATCTTATCCAAAAATAGAGTCTTATAATAAAAATTAAGCCTCTCCTTTTGTTTAGTTCAAAGCTGATGGTAAAGCCACAGGCCTCCCTTTCTTTTTTATGGGTTGGCTTCTATTCATGCCATTTCTAAAACAGCGAATAAGGTTTTGGACGAGGAGACACAGATTCAAGTCCACTCTTAGACACCAACTTTACTTCAACTAGTTCATCAGTTTGTTATTATGGAAATAAAATTAAAAGAGATGCTTATGGAAGCTGCTCTGGATTCTTGGAGGAATGATGAATATAAGCCCTGCAAGATAGTTGAGGCAAAGAGAACCCATCCTTCAAGGCTATTAAGTATGAATTCTATATCAGAATATAACTTGTACAAACTTAGTTATTAACACGTTAAAACATTTTACTGACTCAGGCAAGGGACCAGATGGCAACCCATCTTCTTAAACCAATTTTGCTTTGATAAAACTGGTGTTAGTACAGTGTTCTTCACTACACCTGTCGAAAGCAGTATCAGCCCTTTGAGGTAGGCCAGTCAGGAAAGAGACTCTGTAAGGAATATTGGATCTCTACTTCATTGGTAAAAGATATAAGAATTTTGAAAGCCTGGTATAATTTTTCTCATCCCACTATCATACTTAAGAAAACCAAGGTGAGGCATTCTTGAGTTTCTTTCTCATTCCCTCTTCTCTTTCAAGGTAAGCAGTTTATATAACTGCTTTTTCACTCACACTTCCACAAGCAAGCAGAGCATTCCTTACTGCTGTTTCCCTTCAAGAGCTCTTTTGTCAGCTTCCAACATTTGCTATTTATTTTATTTTATTTATTTTATTTTGTCAAGCGATTATAAGATAACAGGTATAAGTATAAACATAGTTATGAATGCATGAAATGGATACGAATAAGAAAAAAAAAAAAGAAACAATAGGAAGTGATAGCTCCTTTCTCTCCTTGACAGTAGAATCACCCCCTCGCTTCTAAATCTTTCCCCTAAAAACAATTTAGTTAAGATGCTGCATGAGGCCAAGATACTAGGAGAATTGTTACATGTTTTTCAACATTTCAGCACCCGAAAAGTAGCCAGTGAGCCTGAGCCAATGCCAGCCTATATGTCTCTTGTAATTTTTAGCTGATGAAGATGAAATTATTTTTATTAATTTATTTTTAAGAATCAGGAAAAGATCCAGCTCAGTTGTGCCTTATGCTGCTAATGGGATCGTTGTTAAGGCATGCCATAGTTTGAAGAAACATGATGCAACAATGGTCCTATCTTGCTCAAGTCAAGAAATGTGGATTGGGTCAAAACTTCATGGGAGATCCCTGTGAATTCCAAGGCTGCAATTCCTTCTGCTTTGTCATGGAAAAAAGGCAGTCTATAAGTATACTAAATGATTGTAATATAAAGTTTAGTACCCCCATTATCTTCATGATGTGTAGAAACTATTCCAGCACCTTTTTTACTTGTGTTGATGGGATAATATGGAAAGCTGTAGCTTTCTCTAGAGAACCTCATGCTCTGGCTATTTCTCAGTTCTATGCAAAAGCTGAGTATATATACATGCATAGCAGAGGTGGTATTCATCAGGTTCTGACCAGTTCTGAAGAACCGGTAGCGGAAATTTTGAGTAGTTCGGAGAACCGGCAAATATCACCTCTGACTGGAGATTTTACAGTAGCCCTCCCCTGCCACGCCCATCAAGCCATGCCCACAGAACCAGTAGTAAAAAAAATTGAATCCCACCACTGATGCATGGAAAACAAAGGTATATTTTCCATATGAGCGAGTATATTTTATATTATCCTGGAAGCTTGAGATTAAACAATACTTCTGCGGAGTACACTCAGCAAAATTAAAATGAATACATACTTGATAATGCTTTACTGCATAGCTTGTGAACTAGCACAATTATTGATCATACAAGGTTGCCCATCTAGGGTTTAATAGATCCTATGTTGGTACTTTTCTGGGATTGCAAAGACAGACAGTTTGTCAAAGTTTTTGGCAAACCACAATCTATAGTTACTGAGCTGTCTGTTCAGATTGGTGAATCATTAAATTATGGAGATTTCTCCCCCTCCTTACATAAGATAGGAGCATAAAATATTTGTTTCCTCTATTTGATGTTGTGAGCAGAGCACTGAGAAATTTTGGGGGGACATGTAGAGGACTGGCACAACTTTCTGACTCCTAAAAACCTGGGAGATAACTCTTGGCTTCTGCTAGAGTAAATTAAATTTGTAAAATACTTTAGGAAGAGCCAAAAATGATTTTTGGGTGGAAAAATGGCTATATGTCAGTATATTCCTTATTTTATAATTCTTTAATTCCATATGTGGCTGTTGTACAAGACTATAGCTAGTAGTACTGGACATTTTGTTTAAACCAACCAAGAAAACAAAAATGTAAAGATCTCTCAAGCTTCAAATCATTGGTGCATAAAAATAAATTTAACTGAAATTTAAACGAAACTTCTGGAGAAGAGGAAGATTAATAAGCAGAAAGGTTCATCCCAGGCATTTCAGTAAAATGTGGGTGTGTTTCAAACTAGCTGTACTTCAAAGATGCTACTATCCCTTGAGCAATTGTTTCGAGGTGCTGACTTAAGCATAATTCTCCATACAAATTCCTAAACTAGTATGTCAGTTATGCACTGGCTCCACCTCACTGAGGTTTTCCATGACTAATAGCTTCATATTCTTCTTTTTGAATAATTCTTCATTGGAAAGTTGATACTAAATATGGCCTCTAGGTCTATTGCTGAGTCTTCTTACACTGCTGCTTGTTTCCTAGGGAAGTTTTCAACAAGGGAAATTACCATAGATGGAGATATATCTGCAATAAGCCAAGATTTATGCATATAAATATTGGCATGTTTTGCTTTTTGTCAGTTGCTGCTGATTTTTCATTGCCTTCTTCTACATAGTATATTACTTTTCATGCTATCTTAATCGCATAAGAAGGAATAATACTTATGGGAGTGCACAGAACAAGAATATGTTAGCATATTTCCTTCAGTTGATACTGAGTTCAGTTGCCGGTTGACATATCTCATCTTTGTATGTTCAGAAAATTGTTAAGATTGCCTTTTTGGAGAACTTTTTCCAAGTTATAAGTAGACTGTGCACAGGTGCACAAAACTCTGCAATAATTTCTGTATTTTGCCTGAGACAAAACATGCGTTGTGTGAAGACTTTTTACAAGAAGGAAATGTTCTAGTCCAATGTCTTGATAAGTGTTCATTTGACCTTCGAGTTATACTTGGGAACATTATACCTGGGAAAGTTTTCAAATAATTTTGTTTTAACACTGATATGGATAGGCCCACATGACGATTTTGCCACCTCAGTCAAGACAACAATTGTTACATCCAAAGCAAAATAAAATAAAATAATAAAAGAACATTAGTTAATTGCTTGTTTAGACATACAACTTAAACACTCTGTGTTCTCTAAAAAAATAAAACATGAGTTAAGAAGGAATTCTGAGGTGGCACTTAATGGAGATGATCTGATTCTTCTTTGTCTCAGCAGGTACTGAGCAAATGGGTGTAGTAGTGTATAAATAGAGAATTAAGGTTTCTCGGAATCTCCTTCTGGTAGGATGTAATAGGCTAGGTGCTAGGTTTTGCCTATTCTTGTGACATTTCCACCTCTAAGTAAGTTTCCTTTCTGCTATATTTATAAAACGTATTTCAATAATCACTCCCAGGTCAAATTGCTGCGCTCAGGAATGCTCATATCACCCACAGAACACCAACTCCCAACAACAATTCTTCCACATTTTATGAATTCAACAGTTGTAGATTCTATGAAAAAACTGTGTGTGTGTGTGTGTGTGTAATTGTTGTGGTTCACCAGCAGCAGGTGCAGATGGCTGACGTTGAGGTCTCAGATGAGGGTCCTGCATGTGAGGCAGGGATGGGGCCAGGACCATCAGCGAGTGGAATGCTGCCTTCGGAGATGGTGGAGGCTGGCAGCAGTAATGAAGAGGTTCCCAAGGAACATGTGCCCAGTACGCGTGCATGCAGAGCTGCTCGAAGGAAAGAGCAGCTGCAGCATCATAGGTGACTTGGGAGTAAGGCTGCAAGGTAATGGCTCCTCCCTCAAGAGATAAAAGCCAGCTGAGAAACCGGAATTCTTTGCAGGAAGCAAAGAAGTTTTTACATTCAAGCCTTGTGGACGTTCAGAATATCTTGATTGGTGTTTGGAGACTCTTTGTGTTTGAAATATTTCTTAGTAACTTTATCTAGTGTTCTTGGCAGCCTTGCATCAACTTGGCAAGGCTCTTTCTTATCAGAGATAATTAATTTGAAACAGCCTTTTAACCATGAAGGAACAGAATGAATAAAGAATCATTAAAAGGTTTTTCTGTTACCTCTGCTTCATTTGTTTTCTTGGAACAAGGTTTGGGTCAAAATAGTAATGTATACATGTATATTTATGGCTGAAAGCTAAGAACATATTATATGTATCAGTTGGATGTCTGGTGTTGTATTATGATTGTAATAGTGAGGTTTTTATCGCTAATTAGTGGATCTAATGTGAAAAGGCAAAATATCCCCAAATATTTAAACTCCTTAGGAAGAAAGTTTTAAATTTTGCTGAGGCAAGGGAAAATAGTGAACCTATATCTGATACCCCTAGTTTGAAACTTTGTTAGATTTGCTTTAGCTTTCAGAACTGTAAGAAGAGAAATTTTGCCAGTTGTGTGTATTCTTCTGCTGTAATGTTGTGATGAGATAATTCAAGAGGTTGGTTCAAAGCTTTTTGACCCAAGACAACTTGAGAGCAGATTGCACCCACCTTTCTGTACATACCACATGTAGATTATATTGAATGTTGTGATTGTTACTTCAGGTTACACATCTGTTAACTTGTACTGCAAGGTTGCAGTGCCATTCAGTGTTGATTGGCATGCGGGATGTGAGAAAGTAGCAATTATTCATACACACAAGATTGTTTGACTGATCAATTATTTTGCCCTTTTGATTTCAGAATCGTAACTATGGATGCTATACAAGCTGCAAATACAGCTTTTTCAGTTGATCTATTCAAAAAACTATGTGAACTGGACAAAAATGCCAATTTTATTTTTACTCCACTTTCCACATCAACTTCTCTTGCTCTAGCATATAAAGCAGCTAATGGTGACACAGCAACCCAGATAAAACAGGTAGGATGTTTATTTTAACATAACTCTTGCTTATTGTATATGAAGTCTATTTTTCCTTTGCCATATAGATGACGATTGACCCTTCTATAAATTCAAGTCATTATATTTTTCCATTAAATAATATGGGTAGAAAAATCCTGGCTTGGTTTAACAGCAAAGGTTCTCAAATCTAAGGTAGATAATAAAGAGTAAACCTTAAAATGAAACAAAGACAAACAACATTGCCATATATTTGGCATTGAAAAAAGAGATTTACAGAACCTGAAAGTGTCTTAAATATTTCCAATTGTTTATAATTTCTTCTTGTTCTTCCTCTTAGTGTTGCTGCTTAATAGGGCTGCATTTGCACAATGACATAACAATGTGTGGGTTGACATTGTGTGGTTTGCTGTGGATGCTACTGATAGTTTATTTTATCTAAGGCTACATATAGAACTAATTTATAACAGTAATATCTTGATATCACAGAGTTGATAAGAAATCATTAAGGAAAGCTATTTGGACCATGTAAAATGATACATTTAGAAGTAGTTACACTTTTTAAAAGAGTGGAATATGGAAATGAAATTGTGGATTTCTTATATGCATTTTCTTTATTCGAAAACGTAGTTCCTCACACTTTCACGTAGGACCAGGGGTAGAATTCTACCATTTTGCACCTATTTGCTAGAACCGGTTGTTAACATTCTAAGCAGTTTGGAGAACTGGTTGTTAGAAGAAATTACTGCCCTAATCCTGTAAGGAAGGCAGGAAGGAAACATTCTGGTGTTGCTTACAGAAACTGCCTCTCCATTAACCCTTATTACATTCTTGGCAGGACTAGACTTCCTGCCTCAGGAACTTCTCTGGAGTCCCCCCCACACACACCTTTGCTGGTACTTTGCTTGTGTGGAGTGACCATTTAAAGTTACAATGGCACTGAAAAAAGTGACTTATGACCATTTTTCACACTTACGACTGTTGCAGCATCCCCACAGTCACGAGAGGCCAGGCGAGGAGATGCATGCCTCGATGTGAGTGATATTGAGTTGGCCATGCCCAGCCAGTCACATGACCACCAAGCCACGCCCACCAACTAAGCCACGCCCACAGAACCAGTTGTTTAAAAAATTGAATCCCACCCCTGCGTAGGACCCTAACATTAAATGTTGTTGGATTAATCTATTATAGAATAACATAATAACAGAGTTGGAAGGGACCTTGGAGGTCTTTTAGTCCAACCCCCTGCTCAAGCAGGAAATCCATACCATTGCAGACAAATGGTTGTCCAATCTCTTCTTAAAAGGCTCCAGTGTTGGAGCACCCACCACTTCTGGAGGTAAGTTGTTCCACTGGTTTATTGTTCAAACAATTAACAATTAATTGTATAATTGTTAATTAAAGCCATAAAAATTGCAATCTGGATTCCCACAGCTGAAACCTATAGTATTTAATAGGTATTAGCTATTACTAATCTCTGCATATGGCAGCGAAGGTGAAGTAAATTTATTGAGGCAAACTGTACATTGATGGAGCTGAATTAATTCAAAGTAATTGAAAATCTGCTATATTGTTGGCCACCACTATACCTCGTGTTATAAGAGGTGAAGCCCATACAGGAGGGAAAAATTATTAGTGTCTATTTGTGAGTAATCGTTGCTGGTGAAGGCTTCACTCTTCATGTCCCACTTACATGCTTCTCAGTGGCCTCTCCTTGGCCGCAGGAAAAATAAGCTGGACAAAATATCAGATAGAAAAGAATTCTTATGTTTCATTTGATTGTGTTGAAAATGCTACTGATTGTGCAGAAATCTTTACTGAAATCAATATTTTAAACTGGTATTTGTTTATTAACAGGGGCTCCATCTAGAAGATGTCAAAGATATTCCATTTGGATTCCAGACAATTACCTCTGATGCTTCCAAACTTAGCGCATTTTATTCATTAAAAATGGTTAAGCGGCTTTATGTAGAAAAATCCCTTAATCCTAATGTGGTAAGTTGGGAAGAAATAATAATAATTTCTATCTGGCCCAGCAGGTTGACAGTTATCATCTAAATCCCATAATTAATTACATTATGCTCATGGTTGCTTTAATAAATGAAATTTTAAAAAAATGTATAGTTATTCTCAATTTATGACTGTAATGGAAACAGCCCATTATTGGCGTAAACTGTGATGGTCGCAAGAAGGATCATCCCATGACTGATCTGATTTTATGACTTTTTTTCCCAGTGGTTAAGCGAACCACCATGGTCATTAAGTGAATCTGCAATTGTTAAATGATCACCATGGTTGTTAAACAATCACATTTCCCACTATAGAACGTTTTTACTGAAAACTAGAAGTAAAGTAAGCAACCTTCCCAAGGGGCCGATAATAACCGGAGAGTTCCAACCATGGAAGTTGCTCTTGCTGACAGCAAAAATGATGTATGAAACTGCAACCCAAATTAGAATCTCTACAACAGGGATGTCTAACTTTGGCAACTTTAAGACTTGTGGACTTCAATTCCCAGAATTCCCCAGCCAGAACTCAGAGAGTAGTCTACAAGTCTTAAAAGTTGCTATAAGGATGGATGCTCCTGCTTTGCAAGATTATAGCTTCTGTTTTTAATGATAGCTTCTGTTTTCTAATGAGAATCATTAAGATTCAGTTGTCATGCAAAGGGTTGTATCATGTAATGTTCTTCGGTTGACAGAATATGTTATTAGAAGCTTTAGGCAGTAGAACAAAAACAGAGGTTTGGGTTGTTGGTTTTTTTGGCAGTTTGATCTTCCGTTGAATTCCCTACCTACCACATTCCAAAGAAAAGACTCACTAAAGAATTATTGGGAGAATCCAGGGGCTCTGAGAGTCTGAAAAAGTGATTTTCTCTCTTTTCTGTGGCCAGAGGTCTGCAAAGAAATTTCTCTTGAGGAAGATGAGTTGGAAACAGACCTGTAGTTTTTAATTTCTTGTCTAATGAATGTTAACTTACACATTTTTTCTTTTATCTTCATTTTTATATGCTAACTGAAGAATGTTTTTTTTACTATTACTTATAATGTTTAATGTATAATTTGGAATTAAAATGATTTATTCAGCTTTGTGAGCCGTGGTGGTCCAGTGGTTAGAGTGCAGTACTGCAGGCTACTTCTGCTGACTGCCGACTGACTGCAATTTGGCAGTTCAAATCTCACCAGGCTCAAGGTTGACTCGTCCTTCCATCCTTCCAAGGTGGGTAAAATGAGGACCCAAATTGTTGGGGGCAATGGGCTGACTCTGTAAACCACTTGGAAAGGGCTAGAAAGCACTGTGAAGTGGTATATAGGTCTAAGTGCCATTGCTATTTAAAATAGAGAGCTGCTGCCCTGTGTTGCATATGATAATGTTGTACATTGGATTAAAAAAAAAACATTCCAGTTTTTTAAAACTTTACTGCCTTAATATTACTTGATCATGGAAAACCCTAGCCCATTGAAGTTAATTATGGTATAACCTATGTGTTATAGGCAAAGCTATTTCAATTTCAATTTCATTTAATTCATTATGAAAGCAGTTGACGGAGATTTGTAAAGGGGACCTTTGCTGTGAAATGCACAAGAGCAAGAGTCATCAATATTTGGGCCGCTTGACATATTTGACTATGGCTCATGGAATTATAAAAGCATCATAATCATATGTTATGAATTGTGCAGGTTTGGCTTAGAGATTGCCAGCTGGCCACAAAACTGCCTAGTGGGCCTGATGGTTTTCAGTCTACTTGTGCTAGTGCATGCGGCCCTCCTGAGCTCCATTTTCATCGGCAGAGGGCTGCAGGAGGCCGTCACAGCCAAAAACGGAGCCTCGATGAGTGACATTGAGCTGGCCACACAGCCCCAGTCCCCCGAGATCAAACATAACCCTGATGTAGCCCTCAATGAAATTGAGTTTGACACCCCTGTGCTTGTGTATGTGGAATCCAAGCCAAAGCCCCCACCCAGTTGTCTTTCAAGTTTAAAATTGCCACATGCATGTCTGTCACAGTTTTGTTCTTGGCATCAACACCCTTGCTCTTCACTTTCATGTTACCAGTGGGGAAACTTAAATCTTAACCTGGAGCATTCTCTCTTTCAGGAATTCATCAATTCTGTCAAAAGGCCCTTCCCATCAGAATTTGAAGTTGTAGATTTTAAAGAAAAGCCAGAAGACACCAGGCTGCAGATCAACAAATCTGTTTCTGACCTTACTGATGGCAAGTGCATTGTTTATCAAAGAAATTTCTTTTAAGTCATGAATTGGGATGTCCTTGAATTGGGAATTATCCCTTCAGACCAAGAGTTTATCATACTACATGTTTGCTTATTTATGGCTACTGTGCTAATAATATTACAGTACCACTACAACGATGCTAATAAGTTTGAATGTATTTCTGTTTTAAAATGGAAGTTGGTACAGGTAATCCTTGACTTACAACAGTCATTTAGTGACTGAAGTTACAACGGCATTAAAAAAGTGACTTATGACCATTTTTCACACTTTTTTGGGGTAAAAGTTTTATTTGGATTTTCACAAAACAGAACACAAATAAAATATCTTTTTTAAGAGCAGCATGATTCCAGGTTATCACATCTCCATACAGACATAATCTCAATTACATATTCATCTTTATGTTTTATTTCATATCTTATCACTATTTTATCATTTTCTCAATAATTTTTCCTTTCCCTTACTTTCCTCAACCTTATTTCTGATTATCTCATTCCTTTCTAGTTCAATTACATATCTCTTTCTAAATTTCTGTATCTTTCTAGTCATTATATTTGTACTTCTGTCTGTCCTGCTTACAATTTCATGTATTTTTTTCCCCATCATCGTCCCGAAAGGGAAAGGGAAAAAAAACAATTCCCTCTCCTTCCAGGCATTAAAAAGAAAGGTTTCCCTTGTGATTACCCTGTGAATTTTTCACACTTTTGACCATTGTACCATGCCCACGGTCATGAGATTTACATTTGGATGCTTGACAACTGGTTTATGATGGTTGCACTGTCCTGCGGGGGTCATGTGATTATTTTTTGTGACTTTCTGACAAGCAAATTCAATGGGGAAGCCAGATTCACTTAACAACTATGCCCCTGATTTAACAACTGCCATGATTCCTTTAACAAATGTTGCAAGGTAAGTCATAAAGTGGGGCAAAAGTCATTTAACCAACTTCTCACTTAGCAACATAAATTCTGAGCTCAAAGGTGATCATAAGTTGAGGACTATCTGTAATCCCTGGAGAGGTTCGGCTTCTTTAAAAATTACTTTTCATAAATGAACTACTGTATCAGCAATGTGAAACAGTGGTGGGAGGGATTCAATTTTTTTTACTACCGGTTCTGTGGGTGTGGTTTGGTAGGTGTGGCCATGTGACTGGGTGGGTGTGGCTTTTTTTCTTTTTTTGCAGCCACCCTCACCCATTTTCTGGGCCTTCTAGGCCTCAGGGGAGCCTCTGAGGGAGGCGTTTTTGCACCCATAAGACTCCTCTAAGGCTCAGGAAGAAAAAAACAGCATGGGAGGGGCATACAGCACCCCGCCATGCTCTGTTTTGGGAGCTTCCTGGCCTCAGAAGAGCCTCTGGGGGGCATTTTTGCTCCCATAAGGCTCCTCTGAGGCTTAAGAAGGCAAAAATGGAGGGGGGGCTGAGTCCCTCCCTCCATTTTTTGCCTTCCTGGGCCTCAGCAAGGGGAATCCCAGCACAGCTGATCATATGTACAGCTGATTGTTGGGAGGAAAAAAAAAGAAATACCTTAGGCGAACATCAGGCAGGCGGGGTAAAGTGAGGATCAGGCGGGAGCGCGACCAGGTCGGGGGGGTGGAAAGCCAGAACTTACTCCCAGTTCAGTGACCCATGCCAAATCTTTGCAACCGGTTCACCCGATCCAGTGAGAACCAGCTGAATAACACCACTGATGTGAAAGCCTTTCAAGATTTTTTGGCACTATGTCTTACACTATTACACTATTATTTTTGCATATAGTAATGCAAACAAATAGAAAAAAAGGTCATACTTTTTTTTTCAAAGGTATGGAAAAACAGTTCCAAAAATAGATTTTTTTTCTCATTTCTCCCTAACCAAGGATTGAAAATCCCCAGTAATTGTTTTTTTTCCTGCCTATGACATTGCCTTCATCTCATTCTTGGCCTTTTCTAAAGTCATCATCAACTGTTCTAGTTGTCTTTTTTTCTTCTCCTGAAACATTCCCCCCCAAAGATATAATTTAGTAATAATTCATTGACCATTTGGTTGCTGATGCAATCAACAGTTGTGATCTGCCCAACTCATATTGTTCACTTTAGGCTTCCATAGGTCCTCCCCCTTCCTTTCAGGCATTGATTCTGTCTTTCATGGGGATTTTGGCTTGGCCTGTAGAGAGGCATCTGCCTTTATAATGTCTGATAAGGGCACACCATAATACTCATTAGAGTACCTGTACCTGCTGGTTACCTGTAAAAATGGCCTTGCATTTGAAAGGCTAATATCTTGTGCTACATAGATCATTTAAACCCAAAAAGAAAGTTGTTTCAGCCAGTTATCACTAGTTCTGTCATGATTGGTTATAGTACAGATTCCTGCTGTATCTGCAAGCAAGGGGTTTCATTTAGCTAACTTTTTACTATTTTTTATTATTTTAATTTGGGAAAGCAAAGGACAGCACAACTGTTACTGACTCGGCAGAATGCTCAGAGAAGCATCTGTAATTCATTTGATGGTTTGTACAATATACCATAGATAGTTATATCACAACTGTCCTCCCCTGAGTACAGTAGCTTTGCAGCAGCTTCATTAGCTCTTTGGGTGTGACCAACTTGCAAATGAACATATAAAATTCCTTAAGCTAGTGACATTAACAATTAGGTAGGATTATAACCATTTATCAAAATAATTTAACTAGAAATTAAGAATGTCTGAGATATTCTTTACTGGAGAAAAGTTAGGAAGCCATAATGAGAGACTTCTAATGAGTGTCAAGTTTCCAGCGCAATAACTTTTATGGAATCAAAATGAAAAGTTTTTTGGCTTCTTTTTGCTTATTGTATTAAGGGATGTGGTAGCTCAGAGGCTAAGACGCTGAGCTTGTCAATCAGAAAGTTTGGCAGTTTGGCGGTTCAAATCCCTAGCGCCGCATAATGGAGTGAGCTCCCATTACTTGTCCCAGCTTCTGTGAACCTAGCAGTTCGAAAGCATGTAAAAATGCAAGTAGAAAAATAGGGACCACTTTGGTGGGTAGGTAACAGTGTTCTGTGCACCTTCTGCATTTAGTCATGCCGGTCACATGACCATGGAGACATCTTTGGACAGCACTGGCTCTTCAGCTTTGTAATGGAGATCAGCACCGCCTCATAGAGCTGTAAACGACTAGCATGTATGTGCGAGGGGAACCTTTACCTTTACCTTATTAAGGGGCTACTCAATCCCTCCTTTTTGGGGAGAAGACCCAGCTTTCATCTGCCATTTGTTTGGTAATGGCTAGAAATGACATCAAGTGTTTTCCTCTGGCTACATAGAAATTAGCTCTCATGCCTGCAATACCAGATTTTAGATTTGCATAGAAAGCAAATTGAGGTTTCCACTATTCAGCTGTTGGCTGGATGACAGAGATCCAATTTGTTTCTTACGTAGATTTAAAGCTGTGCCTAATGAGGTCATTGGCTCTTTTCAACCGGTATAAACTACCTTTAATGACAGAAGCTGTCTGAGATTGGGACTCTCTGATAGACATTATGTGTTGACAGAGGAGCAGATTGTATGAAAATGTTGGGTGGATTGTTTGTTTAACCAATGCTAAATAGCTTAATGTTTCATAGATTGTTGTTTCATAGATTGATATCTTTAGTTTTACTGAACTAAATTTCTTATCTTTTCTATGAAGGCCGGATGAAGAAAGTGCCATTCCAGTACAATTGAGCAGATAGGCAAATCATCCTTAAGGACCAAATCTTTTTGTTAAAGCAAAAATTGAGAGACTCCATAGTAGTATTGCTAAATAGCTAAATGCTTCTTCTAGAATCTAAACTCTTCTGGAGAGACAGTATCTGGAATTGCCTTTTCCTAGAAACTTTGGCTGTTCTTGCCCTGTATCTGGGGTTGCACTTCTAACAAAGTATTCCTTGTATCTGCAGGTAAAATGGAGAACATTTTGATTGAGGAGAGTGTCAATGATGAGACCAAGATAATCCTGTTAAACGCAGCCTATTTTATAACAAACTGGATGAAGAAATTTCCTGAGGCACAAACCAAAGAATGCCCATTCAGAATAAGCAAGGTATAGAATGAAGCAGCCTCAAACTTTTTAAACAAAAATTAAATGCTACAGAAAAGTTTTCAATTTCTTGCTGAATTTTAAAGTAGCCTTTACTTCAATTCACACAATCCTAAATCAGCTCTGATGAGTGATTTTAAAGTTAATGACACAAACTGCCAGTATGTCATAATGGTTCATTTACAGTCTATCTCTCAAAAAAAACAAACCCGTGTGTATGTCTAGAAATCACCAGAATGTTCCTTTTTGCAGTTAAAAGTTATGGGCCCCAAGATGGTAAAAATAAAATTTGAGAACATTATGGATAGCAAAAAGATTTGGGGGGAATGTCAAATGGATTACACTGTTTTACATAGTTTGGCAACTCTTTGTCACATTTCGATTATTGGTTCTTCATAATCTTCTTGACTTCTGTTGTATATAGTAAATTTTGAATCTTGGTCAAGATTTCAAATGAGTTAAAATACTGTATATGATTCATCCTAGAATTCTTATTATCTATTCTTGCTATGAATCTATATTTCATATACCAGTTTTAGGTTAACAAATGTAACTAACACTGAATTTCACAAAATAAGATGCTGAGATTAATATTTTCAGATGCATGATTATAAAGAAGCAAATATAATGTTAATCACACAGAATGCATTTCTTAAAAATTATATTTTTTAAAAAAAATCTAGTCAAAGGACTGCATTTCTTCAAAAAATTAACTTTTATAGTGTACATATTTGTATTCAACTTTGTAATAATTTAACAATGTAACATTTGAGTTCTATTCTCAATTCATATTTTAATATATGAAGGTAAATAGACACATAATCAGGAATTTTGACCACAACTGGTATGTAAGTGAACTCTCAATTTATGTTTTTCCCTTATTAGACGGAAACCAAACCTGTACAGATGATGAACTTGGAAGCTACATTATGCTTGGGCTACATAAATGATATAAAAACCAAGATTCTGGAACTCCCATGTCATAATAAACATATAAGCATGCTTATCTTACTACCTAAAGATCTAGAGGATGATACAACTGGATTGGAACAGGTAGAAATAAATATTTGGATGAATTTCAAAGTATTCTTTGAAAAGCTGCATATCAATCACTCTCTTCCTTGAATGTTTCAAATGTCTGATTAGAAAAGAGTGAAAAATAGATTTATTTCCTAATGTGTCTTGTAGCCATTTGTTTAGTTCATTGAATGTAGCAGGTCCATATTGTTTGGACCCTATATTAATAAAAAGAAACTGGACTGGATGATTCATTAGCTCAAATCACAACAGCTAGTAGCATTCCAGCCGTGGTATTACAATTATATTAATTGTCTTCAGTCCTCAGGCAAAACCTAATGCCGCAGTAAATTAAAAAATCCACAACAGTTGCATGCATTAATAAACCCAAATTAACTTTGACTTAATGTTAAATAATCTCCATCTATGACCAGTGGTTTGTCCGCTGCTGGACACTGTGTATGACTGATGGGCATTAATACAATATAATACCATACCATGCAATACAATACTATTGCGTTACCATATACCATACCATACCATACCATACCATACCATACCATACCATATCATACCATACCAAACACACAGTATCCCAGGGGTGTCAAACTTAATTTCATTGAGGACCTGGGAGGCTGGGGGGCATGACCAGAGTGAGCGTGGTCAGCTCAATGTCACTCATTGAGGCTCCGTTTTGACCACGACAGCCCTCCTGGGCTCTGTTTTTGGCCGCGATGGCCTCCTGCAGCCCACTGCCAGTGAAAACGGAACTCGGAAGGACCGTGCACGATATCCCCAAGTTGTGTTTTCACTAGCAGAGAGTTGCAGGAGTTATCGTGGCCCAAAATGGAGCTTAGGAGGGCTGTATGCGGCCCGAGCTCCCTTTTCCCTGGCAGAGGCACCGTAGGCCGGTCCTTTGCTGTTTCCAGCAAAAGTGGTGGATCCCATCCCTGGGCCTTGAATTTGACACCCCTGCAGTATCTAATCAGAACTGATACTCTATTCACCTACTATTTTTTTTTATTTCTTTAGCTTGAGAAGGAGATCACCCCAGAGAAGCTGGTACAGTGGACCAATCCTAGTGTGATGGCAAACAGTAGAGTTAATGTGTTCCTCCCCAAATTTAAAGTGGAAAGTGAATATGACTTCAAACCCATTTTAGAAAGCCTTGGTATGACTCATATGTTTGATGAGAATGCATCAGATTTCTCTGGAATGTCAGAGTCAAAAGGCATTGTTCTTTCCAAGATCGTTCACAAAGTGTTTCTGGAAGTAATTGAAGAAGGAGCAGAATCTCGAGACGTTCCTGGATACCGGATCCTACAGCACAAAGATGAATTTAATGCAGATCATCCTTTTCTTTTCTTCTTTAAGCACAACAAAAGTCGCAGTATTGTATTTGCTGGTAGATTCTGTTCTCCTTAAACGGAATTGCCTATAAAGAAACCTGTTATCAATATTTTCTGAGTATGAAATATTCAAAGGTAATCTACACAGTTTCTCTTGTTAATTGAGTCGAATAACTTCCTGTTCAAATGAATTTACAGAGGAGTGGCCATATCAGTTAGTTGTAGCCTAAAAGGCCTTTTAGCCTAAAAGGCTAAAATAATTTATTATGGCATATTTTCTAGTGAACCATAGTTGAATTTATCAGCTAGATATTATACACCAAAGTTGGGAAGATGGTTTCTTGTTTACATATAAAATAAACCTGAGAACAAATTCAGCAAAATGTATCTTTGATAGGTAGCAATAAAACAATTTGCAAAGTTGTGATGTCTCCAGAATACTGCAGTTTGTTTTATGCTCATTGGCAAAATTAACTTTATTGAACTGTCTAGCTAGGGAAGACCTCGTATGAGTTTCTTCAGATCTTAAAAAATCTTGAATTAGTTAAATCACTAATTTGTGACTGGAATATCAGAAGTTTTATATCTGTAGTGAGACATTAATCAATTAATGTAGATTTTTTTTTCTTAAATATGTTTAACAGTAAAATATTTTCTTGTTTTTTTAATTAATATTGGGAAGTTATTAACTTAGATTACCTTCATTTGTTCCAAATAAAGCATTGCAAAAACTACAGTATATTTTCTTATTGCTGAAGTTTAAAGTGAAAAACAAAACTGCACCTCCTGCATCATTTGAAATCTGACTTCATATATCAGTGATAATATGCATTAATTAATGGAGTTACTTAATGCTGTTCTTTGTTATATGGGAAGCATACACTATTTAACACCTGAACAAGAGAATGAGTTTCAGTTCAAGGTTTGGATTTGTTGATGTCCATTTACAATTTTATGTCTCTTCTATATTAAAGTTTTGAAATAGATGCTAAATCATATATTTCAAGAATGTGTTTGGCAAAGAAGATACCTATTCTTTGGGAGAGTGATTAAGAAATGTTAGCTAAATGTTGGAAAATGTCAGATATGCCAAATTTTACTGAACACACTTTTGAATGGCCTTTTAAAACTTGACTGATGACAAGGCATGACATCAACAGTATGTGGTGGCCTACTATTTCTCCACCCCTTCTTTGTGAATAGGGGCCCCATTACTGTACTAACACTGATTTACAGTGATCCATGGTGGTAGGTGTGCTATGGTGAGATGGAATTACCTCAGCCATATTTGTATGGTGGAAAATCAGACTTACATGATACTAGGCTCTGCCCTGAACACTAAACTAGACCTGGAGCTGGTGTAATGAATTCCCTTCCATTCATATGGATATGGGGGGAAAAAACCCTGCAAGGCTTACCTGCTATAAATTAGGGCATGGAATGGAATCGTGATAGCTGCCCTCTATTATTTGACTAAATAATTGTATTTTCTGCCATATAACTGTATATTTACGGGTTCTTGCTGTGATTGGTCCATGAATTGGAGATCTAGTTCAAATTAGGATACAGATATGGCAGGAGGCAGCTTGGCCTGAATTAAGTCAAGACTTTGTCAGGAAGTTGATCTACCTGTGCCAGTGAGAAGTGAAACTTAAGACCATGAAGACAGTGAAAAGTAAGCTCAGAGGCTTAATGAATAGGGATTAAGTTACTTCTTGGTACAATATTGTCCACATTTGGATAGAATATACTTAAGCGTAAATAGGACTGTACTAACTCAGTTAAATCTATGAAGAAAGAGGCGGTATGAAATGAAACAGAAACACTAATAATGAGCTGATAGGTCTTGTTTCAGGTGCTCTACCTGGTCAGGTGTGCTGAACCTGGCAATGGCTCTTGTCCACGGCATTCCCTGTCTCTGAAATGCCCCACCCCAATGAAGTACTGTATGACTTTCAGTAACAACTTGAGTTCTATGAGTGTCTAGATTGACTCCTACCTTTACCCACCCCAGCAAGCAGCCATGTTTTATTGTCCTTTGATGCCAAGTGGAGATGTTTTTATTCTCCAGTCATTTAACAAATAATATATGTTGATTATTAACACACTGGTTTCCTACTGCTTTTGGTGGAATTGCTTCAGTGTTTGAAACTGAAATATTTTAAATATTTTATATTTCAACCGCTTTGGAATTTCATGGGATTTGAATCAATTATAAAACAAAAATGACCTAGTTTTGCAGTGTGACCTAGATTTTAGTTAAACATAAAAATAACAAATATACAAATGAACAAAAAAATGAATATTCTGAGTATCAACGATAATCCCCACTGTTGTGATGGAGGAAAAAAGGCAGAAGTGGAAGACAGTTTGCATGTACCAAACCAATTATTATTTCATGTTGTTTGATCCTGGCACAATGATCTCATGTTATTCTGTATTTCATATACAGGTATTCCTTGTTTAATGACTGTCTCATTTAGTGACTGCAGTCACAACAATGATGAAAAGCTTAAGAAAAGGATACATATTTGCTGTTATTAACAAAGAAAGATGAATCCATTAATGGTTTTCCATTGTCAGTGGTGGGATTCAAATTTTTTTACTACTGGTCCTATGGGCATGGCTTGGTGGGTGTGGCAGGGGAAGGATACTGTAAAATCTCCAGTCAGAGGTGGTATTGTCCGGTTCTCCGAACTACTCAAAATTTCCGCTACCGGTTCTCCAGAACTGGTTGGAACCTACTGAATACCACCTCTGGATGGGATCATCTTTGGATGCCCAAGAAATACAAATTATAAAAATAAATGCCACCTGGTAAGCTCACCTGTTGCAAAACCAGGATGGTTGCAGTTGGTTCAATTTCTCCAATCTGAATTACTCCAGGGCAGAGTTTTATTGCCTTTATAATGACTATCCATGTGAAACTGAGCCCAAGAAGGATCTTGGTACTTTCATGCCTACTCTGACTTGTTGGGAGTTGGGAGGTTTAAAAAATTATTCAATCAATATCACCCCAATATATCTATATGTACATTTTACAAGATTATAGTTTAATATTATTACTGAGATAAATTTTATTGGTATCTACAGAAAGACATGTTTTTGCACATCACCCAGACTGCGGTATGGTCTTCTGAGAATGGTGGTATGAGTACTAACTTTGAATATTAGTTGAAGTGTCAAATCCTCTTTGCACAGACACTTTTAATTGTGTGTACACTATTTGTTTTATATACACTGTATTTGTTTTTATAATAACATGGATCCTATCTTGGGATCCCAGGTGTATGAAGGAGTACTTTAGAGTAATACCTACACTTGGGATTGATGTGCACAAATCATGTACACCCACATCCACACCTGTCTATATATTCATTACCAAGGTAAACGTGGGTAAAAATGTAAACATTTACCACCTATTGTTGTCACTTTTTAAAATAAAAATCTGGATTTGAGTTTTGGTATTATGTAAAAATATGTTTAATTATATTTTTTATTCCTTTAAATCTACAGTCTGAAATATGTATTAAAGCCATTTAGATTCATCAGATTAATCTACTCCGGAGTGCAATGGATTACACCATCAAATTGCTAAATGTGTGTGTGTGTGTGCGTGTGTCACAAAGCTCAAAATTAATTGTCTTCATTTCCTTACTTGTTAAACTTGTACAGGCAAGAACCTGCTTCTATTGCTCTCCAAAAATACTCGATTGTATTGGATATTATTTTGTTTGATTAAAAGTAGCCTAATCAAACGGGATTGTATAAAAGCAGAGATTGAGATTATTTTAGGGTAAAGAAAAATCACTTAAAATGTAGACTCATACATAATAAAAATAAAGAGTTCATATGATGGGAGGTGGATACAAATTTCTCCAAACATGAAATCACCTGATGCATACAGCCATGAAAGGGTGTGGTAATTATAGACTTCCTCAGAAAGCTGAAGAGAAGCATTGGGTAAAAGCAATCTCATAACAACCAAAGTCAAGCAGCCGGTAAATATGATTTTGTTTAAATATTAATATGCCTAAGTACTGAATGTGAAAGCAATGCTTTTCATAACTAAGGGGTGGTGGTGAATGTGTGAAAAGAAAGTGCTGTTTTATGAATTCAGAGGACAGTCACAAATTTAATACAAGATAGTGAAGAACAACAGATAATTATGTCTGTACAAACAAAGCCAAATGAAAGATGTTGGTTTTGTGAACGAACACTTGTTAATGAAATGAAATTAACATGACTGCTTTTTTATTTTAAATGTAAATATAGTATGGGCTGGATCTATAGTGTCATGACAGATCAATCTGTTTGGAAAGGATGTGGGAGATATTGCAAACAGGACATTTTCCAATATAGATTTCCATTGCTGAGAACAATTGGTAAGATTCCTAAAATGGGAAGAGAAAGATAATGCAGGGGGAAAGTGTCTTTTGGTAGCCTAAATCCTGCAGGCCACTCTTGTCCCCTTGTGAATATTTCAATTTTCAACTTGCCATAAGAGATTTGTTGAGGAAGAGGGAAAGAATTTAAATGTGTTTCTCCAAAGACAATGACTGGTTTGTCCATACAGTACCAAGAATACAGTTCAATTCAGCAGCACCAAACATTGTACTGCAGCCCTGGTACTCAACAGGGAGACTTCAGCCTACCCATCAGACATGGGGATACCATGTACGCTCAAGTACACCCTACGGCATGATTTAAATGATTGATTATGTGACCGTTTTAACTTCCTCTGGTTCAATGTTGTTCAGTGTTACTTTAAAACTCGTCTATAACTATTAGAAAGTCAACATTGCCTCTATACTTGTATAGGTAGTCCTCGGCTTACAACTGCTCATTTAGTGACTGTTCAAAAGTTACAACGGCACTGAAAAAAGTGACTTACTACCATTTTCACAGTTGCAACCTTATAGCAATCTTCAGAGTGTCCCAAGGTCATGTGATCACCTTTTGTGACCTGATAAGCAAAGCCAATGGGGAGAGCAGATTCACTTAACAATCGGGGTTACTAACTCATCAACGGCAATGATTTACTTAACAACTGTGGCAAGAAAGGCCATAAAATGGGGCACAATCCACTTAACAAATGTCTCACTTAACAGAAATTTTGGGCTCAATTGTGGTCTAAAGCTAGGATTACCTGTATTGGTCTAGATCAGTGTTTCTGAGACTTGGCAACATTAAGATGTGTAGACTCTAAGTCCCATAATTCCCTGG